CCGTATAGGCCCTACTTCTGATAAGAGTATCCCTATACAGAAGGGACTTTATAAGAAAGCGACCAAGGCATTCGCACTTTCGAATCTGCAACTCACCATGGCTGCTCCACCGAATCCTGCCCGGGGCACAGTTAAGGTTCTCGGATTTGGACTCTCTCGAACTGGAACTTATTGTCAGTGTTGCAAAGACTAAAATTATGATGATACTGACCTTGCGGCCAAAGCGACGAAATTCGCACTAGAGGAGCTCGGATACGCCCCAACTAACCACGGCTATGAGGTATTCGACGAAGCGGCCGTGGTCGACCAGTGGGTCAGCGCAATCGAGGCCAAGTTCTTCGGAATCGGAAAGCCGTTTGAGGCTGAGGACTGGCGCCGCTTTCTGAGCAGCTTTCAGGTACGATCCGATTGGGATAATCAGAGGAAAAGATAGTCACTTGCTAAACATCGAAAAGGCAGTCACGGACATGCCCCATTTCAACTTCGTCGACGAACTCCTCGCAGCTTTCCCCGACGCGGTCGTTGTTGCAACCTACCGCGACCCGGAGGACTGGTGGAAATCCTTCGCAGCAACCATCCACCAGATGTTCCATCCCGTGACCAACTCATCTCCAGGTTCTTCCGCCCATGATTCGCTCCAGCTTCGACGCCACCGCGTCGGGGCGCTGACCTTCAGTGCATTCTTCGGGGTTGCGCCCCAAGACATGAAGCCCGAGAACATCCCCAAGGAGATGGCCATCGCAGCATACGAGGCGCACTACGAGCACCTGCGCGCCGTGGTTCCGAAGGATCGGCTGCTGGAGTTCAACGTCAAGGACGGGTGGGTGCCGCTGTGTGAGTTTTTGGGGAAGCCCGTGCCGGAGACGCCGTTTCCGCGAGGGAACGAGCCGGGGCACTTCCTTGCAGTGTTTCCGGGGATCATACGGAACGGACGGCAAGGACATTGACATTAGCTTGGAGCTCCGCGGGCTTTGAGTGGGAAGTTCGCGATAGTAGATCAATGTAAGCGATATGAAGAAATTAGTGGAACAACTTCAACGAGCTGTGAAAGGCAAGAAGCAGTGTGACAATCAGCCGGGAAGGTCACGACACCCATACCCATCGTGTCAGGTGATCGACGGCAAACCTTAGGCGTACTATGATGATCAATCGATCATTTGTCACGGCTCACGTGGTACAGCCCCTTGGAAACTTCTGACGGGCGAAATTTAGAAGGAACACGTCTGCAATAGTCTGCAATCCGACATTGCCTCCCTCGATCAATTGATTCCTCAGTGGCGGCCTAAATCCCTCGCGTTCCTCGCGAACGTCAGCAGCACATGGATGCTTTGGAACATTCCTGCGCCTGCTTCGGACATCCTTAATCTGCGATGAGAAATAATTTTCGGTTTCAATGTCAAAATTCTATTTCAACAGTAGAAACTTTGTGCGAGTATGTCTATTCTCCAGCCTACGTACAGTAACGCATGTATTCGAATCGCTGGAGCATTTTGGGAGTGTTTATTCGGATCGAGGCGTGTCTTGAAATACTTCCGTTCCCCTAATCGAGCTACCAAGACATCTCATGCGCGCCCCGAGGAAATAACGCTTGGAGAATTCAGCATCTATGCACTGCGATCCTACAGGCACATGTTTCGTCCTTTCAATCACATCTGAAGCCCTGATCCTAGGGACGGGCAGGGAGGAATACAACAGAGCCAGAAGCAATTTGATTGTGTTATCTGCTTGTATGTTGATGGCAGATCCTTGCCAAGGAGGCGTAGAACACCACAGGCGATTGTGAGCAGGGTTGAATGATGCTTTTACGGCGTTGGTCGGGCAGAGTCATCTGCTTACGCTCCAAGAATTGGCATATCACATTCACCACGAAATCACACTGAGTCACTGACGAAAACTCGGTTCTTGACCACCGTCCTACTGTCAGCGCAGTGTGATCCTCATTGTCGAGGATCGCTTCAGGCTCTGTCTCTCGAGGTGAAAACCTCGCTCTGTCGAAATCTGAAGCCGACAGATGGTTTCCGACTCCAATCAATCGCTCGTTCGAAACTCTCGAGGAGGATTTCATCGATCTCAACACCCGGTTCGTGTGGTGCCTGGTGCTTCTCAAATTTCCGATGCAGTCAAGCGAAGATCAAGAGACATACTGTATCTGTAGGTGTCGAATGGCTATATCTTTGCCGAAATAATCACAAGGAATCTGCGCAAGACTGCAGTGCGATGGATGTTCTGGTTGTGACTTGGCGCTTTGGACTTGATCAACTGAGGACGAGAATGGGCATTGGCTCTGGGACGCAGATTTCTTAGTGAGTGATTAGCTAAGGCTCACGCTGGCTAATACGAACGAATGTTATGACCTGATTCGTAAGGTTTCGTTGATAACTCTGCTGTATCATCGCTAAATCGTGTAGTGGGTCAGCAGGACCCCGGCAAATCGAAGAGGCGCATTCCGAGGAACTGGTCCCTCAGACTTCTGCGTTGCTGCTTACTGGTCAAGATAGCACAGCCGCTGTCGTACAGACCTACGGGCCTGCTTCTCTTCTCGGGCAACTGTCCTGTCTTTCCGTCTCATCAATATTGGCAGCGAACCAACATTACAGCAGCAGTCAAGCGAAAAGACCCGAACCTGGCCCCCGTCCGAAGCATACAGTCAGATCTCGTTGCTCGGTGCGAATCTTTGCGGATGTACCCAGTCGTGCCTTTCTCGAACCGCTTGAGATTCTATACATGTGACGCTGTCTCTCGGCCGATAGCACTCAGGCCGTAATAGGTAAGAAATCTCAGAATTCCCCGTCAGGAAGTGCCAAGCCCTCTCGTTCTCTTTTGCGTTCTATCAAAGGACCGTAATGTCTTTCGTCGCATGTAAGGACTGACCCGATGCAGGTCATATCTGAGCGAGGTGAGGGTACGAAGGAATTCATTCCCAACCGTTGGCTAGAAGGAGGCTGCGCTTCTTGAACGAAGACTCAGGGCCATGCGACGAGGTGATAACCAAGATGAGATTATCAAATGTCCCACAAGGGTCTTCGAAGCGAGTCTTACAGTAGCAAGAGATGCGTGGGTAAGAGCTCGCTTCTAACTACTTAAGCCCATCTAGTTCCACTTACCATACAAATCTTTGCACAACGTTGCGTCAGTCATCCAGAGTCTGCGAGCGCCCAAGATGAGTCGAAAAGTCAGAGAGAGTTGAAAGTTGGAACGGAAGTCGGGCCGGGTCCGAAGTAAACACACGCTCGGGTGAGAATCCGTTTCCCTTATAGGACTTGATGGCTGTGAGTGCTCCAAGTTGGATTGATTTTCCAATGCGGATACACAACTCTGTCTTGCAGTGGACCCCTTGGCCAATTATCAGTGAGATTGATTAATGTACGGTGCCTCTTGGTGTTTGAAAAATCGTACACCTCGTTCTTGAAATGAACCCGAACCCGAGTGACCCCCTAACAGGCAGGAGGGTCAACTCGGTCTGAATATGATTCATTCGGACTTGAGGAGAGCCACTGAGAATGAGCGGAATTCAGAAGACGGCGGGATCTCAGCGCTTTCGATGAGTCGTCTACTAGATGCGACAGGATCTGCAGCCGAGTAGAAATAATTAAGAAGGCAGAACTGGTATACGTTGATCTCGATCTCATGCAACGGTGCTATTCTATCATAGTTGCAGCTGGAGTGTGCCGTCGCGCGAAGCGCCCGACCGCTCTTGCCCCGCTCTCCGACCCGTATAGCTAGCGCGAAGGGGAGGCTCGACAGTGGTGGGCATAACCTGCGCCGGCACACCGAAGTGGACCGGGGGCCCGGCAGCGGTGGGAACCCGCCGCCGCGCTGACCTGCCGCCGCGGAGGGTGGGGTCGAGGATGGTGGTCATCATGGGCAGCGGCACTCTTCCCGGAAGAGGAGGCTCGAAAGTCGTCGGCACCGTCCGCACAGCTGGGACCTTGCGGCGCTTGGAACCTCTGCTGGAGTCTTGGTCTTCATCATTGTTGTTTGCAGCCTGCCGCGGTTGACTCTCTTTCTCGACTGTATCTTCATCAGAGTTGTCGCCGTCGTCGAGCTCTGAGTGCCGGCGCTTGGCGGCTTGGGAGGACCCCGTGCGCTTGCTTAATTCTGTCATCTTTATCAGTTGAGCTAATAGCAGTCGACGAGGAGAGATATCGCACGTTTGACTTTCTTTTCACGCGACGTCGAAGGACGGTCTGCGGTGGAGTTTTGTCTTCCGGGTTGCGGGCTTTCGGCCTTGGCACCACGGGCCACAGCGGAAGCCGACGCGAAGCTAATAGTGGTCGAGTTTTTCTCTGAAACTAAGGCTGAGGCATCAGATGGCGACGACGGCCGCATGGAGAAGTCACCCACCCGTGGCGTCAAGCGCTTGCTTTGAAGTGGCGATCAGCCGGCCCGCAGCACCTACCTTGGTGCTGCTTGCATCGACCGTCACTTTTTTTTCATTCGAATCGTCTTCTGATTTCAAGACCTGCGGAGAGATGAGGAGGTGACCTTGCGTATTGTGGCTCGTTGACTCACAGACACATTGATCTCGGTGTACTTGCGATTCGAGCCCCGTCCGGTAGCGAAGGACACGCGAGCGGAGCCAGAAACCAGGAGGACGACGTTGTCGACAGTGACGAGGTACTCAGGGGAGTCAGTGACCGATGCTGCTGAACTGGAAGAGGCAGCGATGGGCAGAGAGGAAGTGGCTTTGGGCATTCTGGCAGCGTCGAGCGAGGGGGGAAAGTATGTGGGGAAAGAACAAAGCAGAGCGTTATCAGCTCTATTTGAGCGATTGGACTCGCTTAGTTGATGCTATTGTTCTTAGGCCAAAGCGCGATGGTCCTGCATTTTTTTCTGGACAGCCTCTTCGATCATGTTTCGGGATGGGACATTGTAATTGTAGTCGGAGGCTCAGTACGAAAGTAGCCATTGGCAGTCATATCCAGTGTGGCAAGAGCGAATCAGAGGTGGATGCGAGTAGACAAGAGCCGTCATCACCTGCTTATCTAATCAATCTCCCTTCCTTGTGAGAGTGCCTGATCAGGTTGTCAGCACGATCTCTGAACATTCGAAGGGCAGCAGGATCGGATGCTCTCGACCCGCTAAGTTGAATCTTCCCCTGCAGCGTGAGTGGCTGCCGATCCGCGCAACGGCGGTAGACAATATGATCATTCGAGCGCTGGCCAGCAGAGAGGTTAAGACCATCAACAATTGGACTTCAGCCAGTCGCTGTTCCGCGGGAAAAAAACAGTCATCATCATGACTGAAGCGACTGGACCGAGTCTAGCCATCAGACACTTGGTCTCATGTCTCATGTTGCGTTCAGGCTCTCGCATTGTGAGCATTTTGACCCAGATTCGATCGTCCAAGCGCTCTGGGCAGCTTTTCAGACTGGAAACAGTGTTTTACTGCGCGCCAAGCCTTTGTGCTTGTAATATGGACTGTATCGCTCAGTCACCAAAACACAGTGAGACAGGACATATACAGTTAAAATATGCCGATTTCAGCGTTACAAGAGAAATGATAACACTGCGTCTGATCCCATTCATGATTACCGCTGCGTTCCGTCGTGATCACTGGATACTTCCGCTGCGGCCCTCGAGGCACACTTCTCGGCTTCCGGATTAGGCCGTTCGTTTGTCTTGAGCGCTGATACCGAGCTCGAAGGGAGCATCCCTGAGCACTTTAGTAAGGCTCTTGGAAGGCATGAGTATATCACTGCGAGGCTGCTTCTCGCGCGTAGTAGCTGTTCTACACTCAGCCAGCCCCCGGTGGGTGACAGCCCGACCACTCTTTTCACCCTCGCTGACTGTCAGCACCAGGCTCCCTAACAAAAAACGATGCCGCCCAAGTCATCATCCGCAGGCACCCAGCTGCCGAAGCGGTCGCTGTGGTCAATGCCACGGGGACAGTCGACGATCGCGCAGTGGATAAGGCAAGAGTGGGACTCTCGTTCGCCCGCTGAGAAGCAGGCATACCACGAACATGCCGCCCTCGAACAGGCAGGATGGGTGAAGCACAAAACAAAGCATCGGCCTAAGCTGTAGTAGTTAACACAGCTGAGAGGGGAGGGGATATCACGCTCACCTGTGGCTAGGATACCGAGCATTGACTATGGGGCCGCACTGTACATCTCCGGAAGCACCTCCTCGTAGTCATCAAAGTCTTCGTCGTCGTCTTCGTCCGCTTCGAGAAGCTCCGCCTCGGCCTGGGCGGCGGCGGCGGCAAGTGCTTCTTCGAGAGCTAAAGTGTCTTCGTCCGTTATCGTCTCGCTACTGGTAGGCTTCTCCAGTGCGTCAGGGGTAGCAATGGCAGTCGTAACGTCTGAGGTGAGCTGAGCGCTTGGGGCTGGGAGAGCTGCGGCGGACACGACAGGAGGTGGGAAGGCTGCGGCAGTGACTGGGGGTGGAATCGCTGCTGGGGGTGATGCAGCTACCAAAGGGGACGCCGCTGCAGCGACAATTGGAGGGGGAACGGGCGTAGCGGGGGCTGTCGAGGGAGGAACAACAGCAGGTGATGCGATAGGAGTTGAGACAGAAGCAGATGATGCGCCTGGAGCTGGAACAGCAGGAGCGATGCCTGGCGAAGAGACTGCTCCATTCGCAGGCTGGGCCGAGGCACTCAAAGCATTCGCGACCAGCACCTGCAATGGTGAGTGCAAAGAAAGGACAACCGTCCTAGCCGTCGCCACCATATTCCCATCCACCTCGCTCTCCCCCGCCCGATTCACGGCGCGGGGCGGCATACCCTCGTGCACGAACTTCTGGTGCTCGCGCAGTCCGTCGGAGCGAGTATAGAACTTGCCACATCCGTCGACTAGACACGGGTAGACAGATGCGAGGAAGGTGTTGTTGTTGCTGGACGGGATGGAGTCCTTCGGCACGATTTCAGTGTGTCCGAGTAGGCCGATGACCTGGATGAGCCCACCGATCTCTTGCAGCGGAGCAGTATAGATCCCAGGGGGCTGTGACGAGCTCACGGCGAAGAGAAAGATGCGATGGAGCTGAGGCTGGATCGAGGCGACGAGAGCGGGGCTGAGCGCATCGCTCACGTCCTTGATCGTCTGCGAGATCTTCCGCACAGCAGCAGAGATCTCGCTTTCCAGAGTTGTCGTCGTCCCGAGGAGTGGAGTCGGGTGTGCAGGCGCTGCAACGTGGGCGCGTTTGTTCGCGTACTCCTGCTCTTCGTCCTCTTCCCGTTTGCGCTTCTGCCTCAGTGTCTGACTCGGAACTTCTGAGTTCTTCATCCCACCGAAAAGGGACTCGGATTTTGCCAGCGCCACGACAAAGCGAGTGATGTACCCCGCGAGACCATGTGGGATTCTCCCTGACCCAGAGATGTCGCGTAACACGTCCAGGACACTTGGGCCCCCGAGATCGGGGATCGTAGAGCTGGCGAACGTAGCAAGGGCTACCGAGTCGCGTTCCAGAGTCGCGATGACGACGCGCACGGTGTTGACAGTCGCTAGCTCCTGCGCGGTTGGAGGTGTGGTGGGCATCTGGATCGGCCGACCTTGGACGGGTTGCGCCTGCGGCATAGGTGGGGGTGGATGAGATCCAGACCCAGCAGCGGGTGTAGACGAGCCGTTGACGCGCTGGATATCCGCCCAAAGCTCAGCCTCCAGTTTCTGCGCGATGGCCGCTGCCGCGGCATCTATGTCTTCTTCGTCCTCTAGTTCATCCTCATCGTATTCTCCTTCCCACTCTCCTTCGCCGTACTCCTCTTCTGTTGCCGGAGGTTGGGCTGGCGTGGCGACAGAGCCCGCGGCTTCAGCCATGTTTTTGTATCTCGAGGTCGTAGCCGAAGAACTGCACAACTAGACAGCTGCCCAAAACTTTTGACGTTGATCCGCCTGATTGGCTGATCACGTGCGATCAAAGAATTTTCGGGCGAGCGCGAGGTACTTATGCGAGTCGAGTCAGGAGCAACCCTTGAGCTTATTCCCAGCCGACCTCTCGGCTACAACATACAATGTCGAGTACCGTGAAGGACCTTGCTGCGGGTACCGCGGGCGGCATTGCACAGGTTCGCATCCCTTCCAGGGCCTGTCATCCAGCGATATACTCACGGCAACGGACCTCAGGTGCTCGTCGGACAGCCGTTTGACATTGTGAAAGTTGTATGTGCTGCCATGCTCTCTCTACAGGCGGCCATGATCGTCTGAAATCCATCCTAGCGAATGCAAACGTCGGCGAAGGGCACCTACACAGGCATGATGCACTGTGCCACCGGGATCCTGAAGAACGAGGGTCCGCTCGCGTTCTACAAGGTCCGCACGACGCGCCGTTCCGCATTCGCCTTACCTCACCTTATCGATTTCACCCACAGGGAACTCTGACGCCCCTCCTCGGCATCGGTGTATGCGTGTCCATCCAGTTCGGCGTCCTCGAGTCCACGAAACGGTTCTTCGCCGAGCGCAATCGAGCTAGCGGAACCGGCGGTGCGGACGGGAAGCTACTCAGTGATGGGCAGATCTTCTCCGCCGGGGTCGCCGCGGGGCTGGCGAACGGCTTCGTGTCCGGGCCAGTCGAGCACATCCGTATCCGTGCGTCGTCGTGCTGCATCGCGGGGGAAGCCCTCACCCGCGCCCCGCAGGTCTGCAAACCCAGTCCTCCACGAATCCGACGTACAAGGGCCCGCTCGACGCCATCAAGAAGATATACTCCGCCCACGGCATCGCGGGCGTGTTCAAGGGCCAGGGCGTCACGTTCGTGCGCGAGGCGGCTGGGTACGGAATCTACTTCCTCGCGTACGAGAAGCTCGTGCAGCGGGAGATGGCGCAGAAGGGCATCAAGCGGGAGCAGATCAGCCCGCTCAACGCGGTCCTCTACGGCGCTGGTGCCGGATACGCTGTGCGTCGATTCCCCGTCTTCCATCTATCAGCAGGCGCATTGACGCGTTTGCAGCTATGGGCCATCATCTACCCGATAGACATGATAAAATCGCGCATGCAGACGGACGGGTTTTCAGCGGCCACGGGGCGCAAGTACTCTTCGTCTCTGGATTGCGTGCGCAAGGTGTTCCAGGCGGAGGGTTTCGCTGCGTTTACGCGTGGTCTGACGCCGACGCTCATTCGGTGGGTCTTGGACGGTCTGTTTTTTTCCCTCGTGACTCACCGTTTTGCTCAACAGATCACCATTCGCCAATGGGGCGACGTTCCTCGGATTCGAGATGGCCAGCAGAGTACTCAATTCGTGGTAACGTGGCGGTGCCACTTTGAGGACATGGTACTGTCATTGTCATTATTAGTCCCAGTCGGTGCACGGGACTCCATCAGCCTGTCTGGGCATTGTCTAGATATTCGTATCATCGGTACTTGCGCTGTATACCTGGTAGAACAAAAATCACCGACGCGCAGTCACTGGCTGTCGGGATCCAGGAGCGCTTATCAGACAGACTCGGATCACGCATCACCGCCCCTACTTTTGGATCTTTACTGACGGCGCGGACACACCAGAAACCGAGGCCTGCGGCGTCTGCGGGGTACCAGGGAAGATGAAAAACCTGACGGAAGCCACAGAATCGGACAGGCGATCAAAGCCACATGGAGCGAACTCTCCTTTTCCAGCTTGACCAAAACCACCCAGTCTCTATGGGCAGCCCACGCCTCCCTCTCTGCCCGAAACCACTCGTTCCTCTCCTATCCACCTCTCATGGCATCAGACCCCCGCAACTCAAGCTCCAGCGAGTCGTCGATCCCCCGCACATCGCACACCGTCAAGAGGCAATCAGAGACGACGCGTTCAGACGAGTTTTGGTACCACGACGGATCGATAATCGTGCTCGCCAACGGTGTCATGTTCAGGGTGCACCAGACCGTTCTCGCTGCCCATTCGGAGGTGTTCTCTAGTCTCTTCAATCTTCCGCAACCGCCTGCGGAAAGCAACGAGCTGGTGGACGGGTGTCGGGTGGTCGAGCTCCATGACGCCCCTGAAGATGTGGCGAGCTTGTTGAGAGGGATATACAATCCTTCGTGCGTGATGACTCCCCTCCCATTCGTTCCTTGTATCAATACGCAGCAGACACTTCGACTCCGTCCCGACCGGTCTCGAAGGGCTGCTAACCTGGGTGTCCGGTATGCTCCGGCTCAGCACCAAATACTTCATCCCTACTCTGCGCCTCCGCTGCATAACCGTGCTCAAGACTAAATTCCCCACGACACTTGCCGAGCACGACCTGGTCTCCGTGCACCGCGAACACAAGCGGCACCGGAAGTCCGACCAGGTGATGCGCGCCATCAAACTCGCGACCGAATGCGACGTGCGCGAGATCCTGCCCTACGCGTACTTCTGCACGTCCCGCGCCTCCCTCACGCGCATCCTCACCGACGCGCCAGGCGACGTCTCGTGGCGCGAGAAGGCGATCTGCCTCGCGGGCCGCGAGCGGCTGCGCTGGGCGGAGATGAGCCTCTCGCACTCGTTCCTCTTCGCGTTCGCGCCGAGCGCGACGTGCGTGTCGCCGCTGCTGTGCGCCGTCGCGCGCGGCCCGCGCAAGGAGTGGCGCGAGATCGAGCGCGCGAAGGCGCCAAATCCGCTCCGGGCGTATACGCGCTGGGCGGAGATGAATGTGTGCGGCGAGTGCGTTGCGAGTGCGCAGGCGCAGCATCGTGCGGGCCGGGCCGAGGTGTGGACGCATTTGCCCACTTTCTTCGAGTTGCCCGATTGGGGGGCCTTGGTGTCGGGTCCCTGAGTCCTCAGGGCGTTGTACTCGTGTTCTTCTCTCTCGGGCCATGCTATGAATTGCAAGATCTCTCGCTTTGGCGCTCTGAATGCCACCGGAGAATGGATTTCAGCAACACTGAGCCTGGATATCACCGATACGACACCGCCACGTTCCTAATCTGTTGCCCGTGTCTCGGATCGACTTGGTTTGTGTCTCACTCTGATTAGTGCGGCTTTCAATGCCTTGCGCTCCACAAAACAACAATGGGACACACCCCGATCAGAATATCTCTTGTGTACATGGTCTCACATATGATTGGTAGCTCTAGGAATAGATCGACGATACCGGCTCAGTATCGAATATCGTAGCAATATCAAATACCGGCAGAATTTCCTCTTTTTGTTGTCGAAAAGTATCAGGCCCGACCCGAGTCATATCTCGTGTATGCTCCTGTGCATCTGTCTGTCGTATCGCCACTGTTGAGTCCGATTCAGGGTCTGTATTAATTCAAAAGCCCGTTCAAACTCTTTTTGAGCTCGTTTCTGTAGTTCCTCTCTTCACCCTACCCGTGGTTTTTAAGCCAGCAGCAATCCAATTCTTGATTCGTATTTCATCACTGCCTGCCTCGGGCGTTGCAAAAGACTTGTAATTTTCACACGCGCTTTACTCAAGATACAGAATATGAGATCCGGCATGATACCGTGTCGCACCGGCTAAGCCGAATTGGACTTGACTGGTTTCTCTTCAGCCACAGCGAGTCCGCTTCCGTGGAGAACGTTGATGCGCTCGAGGAGCGCCGACGCTCGGGCAAGAATGCGGCGCATCAACTCCTCGTCTTCAGGCTGTCGGTAATGCAGCGTAAGTTCTCTGCCACGAATGTGCTTCCAGTCCACGGACCTCGAATATCGCGGCCATCTCCGGGCAAGTCGGCCACGACGCCTCCGCGACGCGGACCGCGCTGATCAGCTCCAGCTCGCTGCGCGCGTAGGCGACGATCTCGGTGGCGCTCGCCCGGTCGGCTTCGATCTGCGCGGCGTCCGGGTCTACTAAGTTCTTCTCGGCGCCGGGGGGGCTGCAGCTGGTGCGCTGGGCGTTGGCACGGTGTTCTGCGTGCGAGGAGACACGGTCGGAGATCTCGTCCCTGGAGCGAAATGCGTCCGGTCAGCATGCTGCTTAGAAAGCAAAGAGGAAATTCGGTGCACAAGGAGACTCGGAGGGTGTCCCAGCATCCGGCGAGAGTGTAATCCGAGGCGTCGCTCAGCTCGGACTCGACGGCTTCCCACACGCGGACGGACGCGCAGAGTCTCTCCTCCTTCGAGGATGCGGTGGCCGGTGGGCTCAGCCAGTCTTCCAACTCAGTGGAGAGAGAGAAAGACGCGACGGTGGATGTCATTGGTCAGTGGCGCTGGGAACGTGTTGGTCAGGTCAGGTCAAAGGGCACACCGGCAGGCGGATTTTATAGAGCATCCACGATGCCACCCACCGTATGCATCTTGCCTGGCTTTGTATGGTACTAGAACAAAGATTGGTACGCTTCGGACAATGCGCTATTGTACTTCCGTGCGTCCGGAGAATGCAACCATTTGGAAGCGGGGTTGATGACGCGATGCACTGTCATTCAACATTGACGAGGTATCAGCACGCTGCACACAGGTAAGAGTAGGAAGCTCATAGCAAAAGCAGCGATTTGGGACACTCAATCGGACTCTTGAGTTTGAACTGACCCTCATACCAGACTTATTATACGGGCATGGCAAACGGGCATGTCCCGCCAAGCGGAGTTTGAATTTCGCTTGGCGGGCATTTGATGGCGGGCATGGGCATGGGCATGGCTTGTGCCCAACTTTTTGAACCTTGGGACATTGTTTGGTGTCGGACGGACGCTGCGGACATCGCGCTGTCGCCGGGTTGGTCGCTCTGCAATCGGTCGAGTCCGGATCGGAACTGGTGGTGATGCAAGGCTTCCCACACTAATCAACCTTCGTCATCGCCGTCGGGTGGCCTCAGCTTAAGATCAATAGACTAAGTTGAGCTATTCTACGTGTCATTGAATAATACAACGACCTGATTCTTTCTATTACCATGCCCCGCCTTCCTTTTTTCTGCGCCACTGTTGTCTGTGCTCCCTTCCCTTCACGCGTTCTCTTCGCTCTTTTTGCTGGCCGTGCTTGCTCTGCGCCAGTGCCCGAGTCGCTCTCGTTGTCCTGCACGCGTGCCGCCGCATTCCGAGCTATGGGCTTTGGTCTTGGCCTCGGGTTTTTGTTCTCCAATTGACTCCTCGTCCATTGCGTCGCCGCGCGGAGCTGGAGGCATCGTATAGATGGGATACCCGGCGTCCAATTTAGGAGAACCTGACGTACAATAATAGAACACGTCAGCACTGGAGAGGGAATGCGACCGCCTGAACACTTTTATCTCAGCTCCATAGGTGAGAGATCTGCTCAGCTCTTCCGAATGCCAAACAGGACAGCCTGCACATAATCGACATCACCCCATCTCGACTGGATCATATCCGCACTGCAGTCAGAAAATGTTGATTGCATCAAGCAATCAGGCATGTCATCAAGCGAGCGGGCATGCACTTGATTCTGCGCACTTCATGAGCTTGTTGGCTAGTAAGGCAGTCATAATCTCTAGATAAGGTGTCCTAGAAACTTAGATCACGGCGGCGCGGCAAGATATAAGCTCGGAATTTAAGCAATCAAGATGCGGACGCATGCCCGTTTGTCGGATGGGATCAATTTGGACTTTGAGGCTAACCAGTACACAATGTAGCCCCGTGTGCATTGAAAAATGGAGGTGTAGGGGTGAGGCGTAGTCCTAAGCCATGAATCTGAGACCTTTCCTTGACTTTGAGACGCTGTCTTTCTCCTGAGAGTCAGTTATCATCGACTGCATAGAAGAAAGCTCAGCGGGGAGGGCCATCCCATCTCCGCAGAGCCCCGTAGAACAATCACGACGTGAAAAGCCCGCATAATTTTGTGTCTGAATCAAGCTACAACACTCCCACGCGGTCCGATCTGCTGAAAGCCAGCGTTGAAGCAGCATCAGTAATGTAGCGCGCAGCAGATCTCTTGAGACATCATTGCTAAGTGCATTGGTAGGCCTGACATGTTTAAATACAGCCCATAGGGAAGCCTACAACAAGTAAATACAAATTATTTATGGCCTGAGCCATGCCAAAATGTTGGCTTGGCATGCCCGCAAACGGGCATGCATGCCTGATTGCATCAATTTCAAGCCAAACCTGTCAAATGCCCATCAAATGCCCGTTTGCGCGGGGGAATGCCCGTTTGGCATGCCCAAAACGTCGGTCTCGCAGATCCTGCTGTGAACTGATGAGTGGGCAAATTTTGATTTTCCCGACAGATGTCCGTCCGTCCTCCAGACACCTATCGCGGTTCCCAAGCAATATGTAATTTCGGTGCATAAGACTCTCCGAACGTCATCAATTCCTGCGGTGGGCTTGGCTGGTGATATCTCATTCTCAACGGCGGCCGCGGACTCAACACGCATGGGCTGGCCTTCGCAGGTCGGACAACGAACAGACACCTGCCAGCGGTAGCATTCTGTCTGAAAGCCTCTCCAGCGCGCACCACATGGAAGCCTATCGTTGTGTGAGAAGCTCAGACGAGGCCTGGGGCGAAAGAGACCGAGTTGTGTTCTCGACCGAACAAGGACCAGCGTTTGAATTTCCTCTTTACGCTTCCACGACTTCGTGACACTGGAGATCATCTTAGACGACCCTGCGCGTCGAGGAAAGCCAGATGGGATGCAATGGCGCCAGATTCGATCGAAGGTACGCCGCAACGACAAAATTTACCCTGCTTGCTCGTGAGCGCACAGGTCATGTGAAAGGAGCGCGCCTGTAATCTGAAATTGTCAGCCTCAGCCTCGGGGTAAGCCAGAATTGACTCCAGACTTCACACGGGCTGACAGAAACTTGCGCAGCCAGAGACCGAACCAGGAGGCAGAGTTACCGGCGCCTGGCCTATCCGATAGAAGACCGAGACCGGACCTTTGACATGGGGAGAGTTCTTCGAACGCAACGAGGACACCGAGCAGACATGCTGTGCGTGATACGCCATGTGCGCAGTCAGGCAGTCACTAGGCGCAGCATGAATGGACTGAGATGACTGGGTTTCTTGGGCGGAGTTAAAAAGCACTTGCAAACCCGGCCGTGTCCATAATGGCATCGACCAGAATTCCAAGTGACTGAGGGCTGCCGATGAGAAAGCTTGTGCTTGAAGGGAAAGCAGGGGTGGCTCGGCCCCGAGACGAACTTCTGACCAGACGCTGCTTGTACGGTTGCAATGAGCTGTTAGCCTGGATTTTTTAGTCTCTCTAGTGCGCTGTGCGAGAATCCCCCATACTTGGCAGTTGCGAGAAACCACGTGGCCGCAGCACTTTCGTGGTTGAGATCTGAGCAAGGTGATCGTGTCGTCATCGATCATCTGTCAATCAAATGAGCATCATTGCTAGCTGATGTGAGACTGAGACTGAGTATGGAGGCCGGGAACAGCATGCTGATTCGCGGCGCGAAATGAGATCGCTGTCTGATTGATGGATCGCTGCACGTGCTCGGCATCATTCACGGCATATCACATTGTACTTTGTTGCTTGTGCTCTGTAAGGTTTATAAATGCTAGTTGATGTACACACTAGTTAGATATCATATTGTATGCATGTATTCTTGTTAACAAGTGTTGAGTTCCCCTGGTCCTGAAATTGATCGGTCACGTGCAGTTTCGATGAGTCAGCAAGGTCGCCGAAACACTTTCACGTGATCCTGTCTCATTATTGCGGACGCCCTGGGCAGGAATCAATGAGTGTCCTCCATAGGCATGTCATCGTTCAAGCTACTTAAGTAGTGCTGAGTTTGTAGTCCAATGGTACAACTCCGACCTGGTTGGATGCTCGCTTCCCTTGGAATAAGCTCAGGAGGCAGCAATCCCCGGGAACTAGACTGCCAGGGACTCTGCTAAGGCATCGAGAAATGCCTAAATCAATTAGATTAAAACAGTGCCACTCCAAACCGGCAGAAGAAATTAAATATTGTTTGAAAATTGCAACCTGTCTAGACCTTTGTAGAAATAAGCCTGAGCAGTCGAAGTAATGCTGTCGAGCACTCTGAACACGAGATTTTTGGAGTTGTACCAATGTACACAACACTTAAATGCAGATGACTGGTAGATTTACAGTTTACCTTGTACTCAGCAATGTACAGCAGTGACAAAGACTACATAATCAGGTTACTGTGAATTCTTCAAACTGTTGTGCTTTAAGTAGTAGATACTTGGCTAAATCCTCAGTGGCACTACTTAATTAGCTTGAACGATGACATGCCTATGGAGGACACTCATTGATTCCTGCCCAGGGCGTCCGCAATAATGAGACAGGATCACGTGAAAGTGTTTCGGCGACCTTGCTGACTCATCGAAACTGCACGTGACTGATCAATTTCAGGACCAGGGGAACTCAACACTTGTTAACAAGAATACATGCATACAATATGATATCTAACTAGTGTGTACATTAACTAGCATTTATAAACCTTACAGAGCACAAGCAACAAAGTACAATGTGATATGCCGTGAATGATGCCGAGCACGTGCAGCGATCCATCAATCAGACAGCGATCTCATTTCGCGCCGCGAATCAGCATGCTGTTCCCGGCCTCCATAACTGAGAGATCATTTGCGAGATCACATGTTCAAGCTCAGACAGATTTTGAGACGCGTGGCAAATTCGGGCACCTGCTCTCTTGTTGTCACAATGCACCTCGTCTTTTTCACTCGCCAGCACGAGCTTGCCCCACACCCCCATCACCACCCCAGGGACCTCCAATTGTGACGTAAAATGGCTTCGAGGCCCCCTCCGGAGGCCATCAAACCACCCCCTACCCCCCCTGATCGGAGGCCATTCTGGAGGCGCCTTCCTAATTGGGACGCTGCCTGGCCATTTGTCCACAGCCTGCATGGTACTCAGGCGTAGGCTGGGGATCGGCCTTGGTACTGATATATGCTTCAGTAGTCATTATTAAGTCTCAGAAACTGTCTTAGCTCCCAGAAGCCTGTATTTACTGCTCGCAAATGGTGGGCCACTGGGCACCCAAAATCTGGGATTTGAGCGCATTAGCATGGCCCAAGTGTATGAGGCAAGGGGATGTGTATTCCTGCGAGATCGAGCATGAAAGACTGGCGTCTGCATACAAGATTGAGATGTTATGCAAGGGAGGGATCACGGCCTCCACGACCTCCCAGGGTCAGAAAGAAAAGGCGTTGGGTAGCCCACAGGCGCTTGAATTACCTTCAGTAGATCAATTTGACGCTTATACTCTCTAAAAACAACAGTCAAGCACGTAGATCTGATGCCAGCACCGATAGCAGAGATGACCTCCATGGCCTCCACAGCCGGGCACGAAACGCGGTTAGAAAGCGATCATTGGGGATCCAGCCGCACGAGACATGTCTCTAGCATACCAAGTCCTCTTCTGGATGATGAAAGTCCTCCCGCTGGGCGGCCCAGCTGATAGATCTGATGCGGGCACCGATGGCAGATATGGCCTCCACGGCCTCCACAGCCGGGGACGAAACGCGGTTAGAAAGCGATCATTGGGGATCCAGCCGCACGAGACATGTCTCTAGCATACCAAGTCCTCTTCTGGATGATGAACGTCCTCCCGCTGGGCGGCCTAGCCGGTAGATCTGATGCGGGCACCGATGGCAGTTATGGCCTCCACGGCCTCCACAGCCGGGCACGAAACGCGGTTAGAACACCAAAAAAAATTGAAGACTTGGGACAGAGTTTTCCCCTCGCATTCAGTGGCTCGCACACCATGGAACATCGTCAATGCCCCGCTGAAACGTCTGGCCAGCCCGCCTCCGGACTTGGCCTGTCTATTATGTACACTCCTGTCATTGTTTTTACTCTTGCCCTTGACACTCTTCCCCTCTGCGGACTACACATCTTGCAGACTCAGTCCCGACGGCATAGGCTAGGTCACCGCCAAGAGGTCCATGGCCCCGGTTTCCATCGGCAGTCTCCGCAAACCAATCAAAAAATCCATCAGCCGAAAGGCAAAGTCGGGCAACCGAGGGATTGGCGCACACTCTACTAGTCCCGTGAAACCGGGTGATCCACGTCGGCAAATCTTATCAGTTCCTCTTGGCCGCTTTAGCCTCGCCACATGCCATCACGATGCCGATCCAGATGTCCTCTCACCAATTCCTGGTAGTTCTTCCGGTTTGGATCAATCCGACCCCCCTTTGGAGCCAATGAACCTTGAATCTGAACATTACTTGTCAAATGAGCCACAGTCTCGGCTGTTGCCTCAAGGCGAGTCCACATCTGTTACCTTGGAGGCCGTGGAGGCAGGACTATTGGGCTCTGACTGTACTCCAGCAGCATCAAACGGGCTATCATGTACTTTTGTCGAGGACGTTCATGCTGAACCACGACGAGATTCAGATCTCCTCTTTGCCCAATCCTGGAAGCTGCTGCTTCCCTCACTGGTTGACCCATTACTCACCTTCCGCCGAGATTCATTGGGACGACCACCCTGTCCCATCGGCAACCAGCTATCTTATGAATGTAACGCTGGCTGCATCAAAAAAACACAAACGCGAATACGTTGCCTGTTTTTCTATCGTAAGTTTGTTTGCAATGTCTTCCAGTTTTAAAGCCTTCTAATGCAAACAGATTTTGAAAATATTGTCGTTCAGACATGCCTGTGTCTCCCAATTCCTCAACTTCTTGTCCGTCATGGCCTCTTCCCTACCTCACCATCACGTCCTCAAGTTGCAATATGTATCAACATGCTCGAGGCCTATCGAGCATTGTTCGAGCGATCCTGTGATGCTATTACAGCTTTCGCCGCTGCTCTCCGAGATATTTACTCTCGTTGTGGATTCGAAGCTCTCTCTTCAAGAGTAAGTCTTTCCATAACTGACAGACCTGACAACTCACTCTTCTAGAACAAAAAAGAGCGCGCGATTGACCCTTTCCGATCGGGAATAACTCAAGCCGTCCAGTGGTATAGCAATCTGTCAGATGAAATTGGCACAAGGGCCCACGCCCATCTGGAGGCGGTGGAGGCAGTCACAGTCAATCCTGTCCCAGACAGTCCGCTTTTAGAAGCTGGATCTGACCGCGCCCCCCCCTCGAAACCGCAAACAGTTTCAGGACTTTTCCCAGGACGTGCTAGTCAGTCGCTACGTGAGGCGTGTCCAGCCTGCTTCGGGTGTGAACTGTGGGGAAGAAAACTTGAAGAGTGATATAACCTGCTTTTTTGCGCCGCAACAGTAACTGACAAATCATGCAGGGGCGGTGATGTGCAGCTTGGAGGTGATGGCTGCATGGGCTATCGTCACCTCTGTGCTGCTGGTGATAGCCCAATCTTCTTCACGCCGAAGTTCTTTGTCCCCGAGGCGACTGTGAGGCAGGTCCAGCTGCGTATTGCCGCAGCTCGCAAGCAGCCACCGAAGCGCAATGTAGTCCCTGCTGTGCCACCTGAGGTCCTGGACGCATGTGAACAGTTGTTCAAAGCTGCAAAGGAGAGGGACTCGAGCACAACCTCCCGGAACTTCGACTCTAGTGGCGTCTTTGTCCTGGCCTGCTGACATTCACAAGTAATTGCAATGTGCGATATCTACACACCAGGCGAGCAACAGCATTACATTATTGCTCTCATCGAGCGGGTAGCATCTCTTCTCCCCCCTCAAGCCACTATAAAACAAGCATATGATATTGGATGCGTTCTGGACCGAAGTTGTCAGCTTGTAAGTCCCTCTGCCTCCGGTGCCTCCGGTGCCTCCACCGCCTCTTTCTATTTCTCATTGGAGCCAATTTTTAGTATCCACTGCTCTCGGCGGATTTGCAGCCACGAGTAGAGTTTGTGATCAATGCCATGCACTCATTTCGTCATCAATGGTCCTGTCAAGTCCGGTACAGTCCACGAATGAATGTCGGCATGGGCATCACTGATGCAGAAGGCATGGAACGGATTTGGTCACGCACACGCAAATTGATTCCAATAACCAGGAATATGGGGGTAAGTTCCTCATCTCGTGTGTGCTCAAATCCTCAAGACACACCTCAGGCCTCCAGACGCATCTGGATGATAGACCAGTATGTTGGATTCGTGAATGAGGATGGTCTAATCGAGCTCGGGGCCTGGCAAGAGCGCCAAAGCACCGTGAATCTATTCAAGAAGGCTTCTGCTGCCCGTGCAGCGTTGGTTCTCGGTTCCATTTCCGAGACAGACTTGCGCAAACATTGGGAGGATCAAAAGAATGCGCAAACCTCCGTCCGTTCAGGTGTGTACAAATCACTGAGGATTATACATCAAGCTCACCCTCATTAGCTCCTCCAAATAGACTCCGACGAGATCTTGAGAAGGTCATCACTCTCCAAGGGCAGATCGATTCTGTAGATGAAGCAATTTTGGATGCAAAAAAGGCGATCCTGGCCTCGAATCACTCTCAGAAATCTCGAAGGGTTCTTTCAGACCTTCAGGCTACACACTCCACGCTGGATGCCCAAGTCAACCGGCTTTACGGCTCACTTGATCTCAATGAAGATTTCCCGAATCTTGCTCATCTGCCAATCGAGTTCCTTCACACCTTGCTTCTCATGCGTACCTTAAAGCCTCACATTTGACGTCAGGTCGTGGCATCTTTTATGGAATGGGAGGCTCTGGACCAAGCAGTGAACGGCAAACGGGAGGCTTTGGGTAAGATTGCCTCCACTGCCTCCGCGCCTCCACTGCCTCCGTCATCACGTGCTAAATCCTTGCGCAGGGAACAGATTATACCAGAACATCAAGCAGTCCATTTCACGTAGACAGCCCGCCCTCCTCAAGCTCATTTATCGATTCAATGGCTATGTTATCAAACTTTCGGAATGTCGACCGGCCGACTGCTCCATACCAATCCCTCGACCTCTTTCCACAAAGCTGGCTGAGCTGCGTAGCGACCCTGGCCTCTACGACGACGTCTGGATCTCGACTCGTCTGGAAAGGCCTCCAAAGTGGCTCACAGATGAAAATGTTCGCGACGGAATCCAAAACATGTTGGTGCTAGACCGCTGTCGGGAAGAAGTGAAACGCATGGCACTGGAACAAAGCAATATGAGATCATGGATTTCTCATGAGCTCAACCTTCTTCGGAAAGCACTCGACTTGCCTGGAGGTGAGCCACGTTGAAAATTGGGACACATGAGATTGACACGTACATGGTATCAAGAAACCTTGCTCAGCGTCCCATTGCTTACACGCAAGAATCACCTCGAATTTGTCTCCATCTCCTGGGAACGACGTCTCCGACGCTCTGAGCAACCCCGCTTTTCTGCACCGGTTATGCCACCGGTTAGGCCTGCCTCCAGCGCCTCCACTGGCCCTGCGTCTCCCTTTGCTTGCATCCCGGCTTCGAGACAAAACAACTCTCCGCATTTCACTATGGATGATCAGCCTCAGTCCTTCGGATCTCTTCCTTCCCGCCCTTTGATGACCAATCCTCTTGTGGGACACACCACAGCCATCGTTCAGGAGGAATCAGAAATTGCTGTGGATGAGGACCGCGATTCCCCTCCACCTAGTGAAGTCGAAGATAACTCTGACACAGACAATGAAAGTGTGGGATCAAGCGATGGATTGAACGCCTTTGTGTGGAAAGTGCCGGTGCGTAATTCCTATCCCCGCAACTTGATCTTCAATTCAGTCACACACACAGGCAAATCTCAGTATGGACTCTCAGTTTGCGACGCATTTAAGGATGCATAATCTGTCGCACCATTTCATCCGAGTGAATGCTGCTCGCAAGGTTGTTGGCCTCCATGGCCTCCGGAGTGCCGATCTTCAGTGTGACGATATGGACCGAGTCCTCCAGAAGACCGGACGGCTCAATAACTTTGCTCTAAATGGATTGGCAAAGTCTCTGTTCGGGATCTTTGCAGAGCCACACTCTCCATTCTCAAATCAAGTTCTGCAATGTGCGCTTTTCAGCACCTATGATCTGGCTCGGGTTCAGACCCAGGCGAGTGATCAAGATCTCTGGCGCAGCACAGCGCAGACAATTTACTGGCGCAAACGGCTATGGGTTGTTCCCATCCACCGGCCGTCGCAGGAGCACTGGGTTCTTGCAGTCATTGACATGTCAAACTTCATCATCCGTGTCTTTGACAGTCTTGGTTCCCACAGTGGATGGAGCAGGGATTTAGATGCATGTATCTTTCCTTTTCGCTCCTCCGCTTGAAATGACCTCAGAGCCGCAGGACCTTGGCAACATGGTCTCCCGCCTTTCAGCATTGGCATCTCAAAACCATCCCGAAGAATTCACGCCTCTCAAAGAATCGCAGTGGACCGTTTTGCCAATTTACAATCAGGTGCTTCAGACCAACAGCCATGACTGTGGCGTATGGGTCCTCTGCGCAATAGCTGCAACCTTGAGAGGATTCGACGCTCCCTTCCTTACAGAAAGGGATATTCCAGAAATACGCTCCTTATTCTTCGAACATTTCCTTACATTACCCCTTTTAGCTCCGGAAAAGCGAGTCATCCAAATCCAGGGAGGCCATGGAGGCCGTGGAGGCCGTGGAGGCACTGCAACTATGTAGCTCTGATCGAGTTTTTGAACTTCAATTGTATCCTTTTTGGCCTTACCAATCAGAATTAGACTTCTATTTCCCAAAATCTGTTGGACGCTGATTTTCAGACTAGCGAATGTACATGAATAATGGTGTGGAGGCCCTGGAGGTTATCCGCACTTGTTCCTGTTACGCAAGGAATTTGCAGCCGTAGAAGTGTACAATGTTACGAGCCACCCATTGCTGCTGATGCTTCAACATGGCGTGCTGTCTTGCATCATGTAAAGGGTCATATGTCCCTGAAGCCTCGAATGCCCAGAGCACCTCCCATTTCTTCCACCACCCGGCCAACATTGCTCGTACCTCCGCAAACAGTTCCTCTCTTTTCTTTCCATCACCAGCACAAAGGAACTGTGAGTGGAGATCATTGTGGCGGGCTTGACGCATCCGGAACTGCACACCGTGCATTGCTGTTTCCAGCGCTTTCGTAAAGCCTTGGTACTCTGCAGAATGACGCTCAAAGTATGCGTCATCTCCAGCAAATGGGGGCTCCGCTAGCCAGCGAGGGAAATCGCTTTCATCGACTGAGTCTGGCTCATCTACAACACGACGGAATAGCGCGTTTTCTGTCGGCAGTGGGATCTCTGCGAGAGCCAGCATGAGACCGTTGGGGGGCTTGTCTCCGGAAGCAGCAGGAGGGGTTGGATCATTGGATCCCGGGCTTTCCCCTAGCTTAGACCTTGCTTTGCGGTCTGCCCGCCGCGTTTGACCACTATTGAGAGAATGTAAGTGGAGTCCGGTGAGCAAGAAATTGAAGCAGAACGGGCTTACTGCTCGGACAGAGCATATTTGAGGCCCGAGATGCGTTGTGAATCCTTCTTTGCGGCCAATGTGAGGTGCCGAGCTCGACGACCCATTTTGACGATGTGGTCAGAAGCAAGTTATACAAGGTATTTACTAGCCTGCGACACCATTCTGTGCATCGACTTTTTTTCGAATGAAAGACCTAGAAAAAACTATCAGAAATCGAGGGGACAGTGAAATAGAATTGAATTTCAAAGGTCCGAAGGCTCTAGGACTCTCCATGGTCTCTACAGCCAGGTGAATATGTTGGTTCGATCGTTATTCGTGTGCTGATTGGCGGGATCTTTGCTCTTGGCAGACGTAAAGCTATCCCGGCAACCGAGTTACCGATGGATCCGCTCAAGGACACCGATCATGTCATGTCAGAATCTGTCGGAATTTGATCTCGGCAACGGATTTCCCGGCGATCCGTGCAAGACACCGATCATTCTGGTCAAAGTGACCGGTCATATCATGTGTTTGTGACGAGTCGCATTTTTTCTCTCTCACATTCCCCATTGTCTCTCTTGCACAATCCCTCTCGCAGGCCTCAGATGCCAAAAAGCAAGAAAAAAGGTTAGTCATTGCTCACAAATGGTCGATTGTTGAGCTCAGAATTGTGCTAGCACCCACCGCGCCACGACAAGGCCCTTCGACGTGCTCCAGGACCGGTGGAGCAAAACAAGTCGTCACTGCGCCAGGATCGGCGACCGCGGGTCCATCGGACCATCCCAGCTCGATGGAAACATCAGACCGTCCCGCCTCGATGGAACCATCAGACCATCCCACCGTGATAAATACCCCAGGACCGTCCGATCGTCCTGCCTTGACTTCCAATCATCCCACCTCGATGAGCCCCGCAAAACAAGCAGAATCATCGGAGGATACTGCAAGACCGTCAACGAACGCCGCTGAACCCCAGACCCCAGCCGAACCCCAGAATCCTACCGCAGAACCATCCGACCATCCCCCCTCCATCCAGACCCCAGCCGAACCCCAGAATCCTACCGCAGAACCATCCGACCTTCCCCCCTCGATGGACACTGCAGAACACTCGCAGGAGCGTGTGGAAGATCCCCTCCCCGACGCAGAGATGTCCCTCGCTCAGATCGATTGCATAGACGAAGAAGCGGACGGCAGCCAGCAGGAAGGGGTGGGTTTGGATAGTGGTGAGATGGGTGTCGAGCTGGAGGACAATGATGATGGTGAGGGCGAGCTGGAACAGGATGAAGAAGAAGTGGATGAGCTCGCGACCACAGCGTCATCGCCGGCCAAGGCTTCGCTGCTGGAACAGACAGGAGGAGGATCACCATGGCGGGAGGCCACACCACCTTCCCATCTCCCTCAGTCTCGACTCCGCTCCATCGTCACGCCGACCGCCAAGGCCTCCGCCAGTTTCCTTGCACAGGATCGTGTCAGGAAGCCTGTCCCAAACGAGATGCCCGGCACCCAACCTCCGCCACCCCAGCCTCCACAGGCTCCTCAGTCGCCTCCCGGTACTCCTGGTACTCCAAGCCACCCCCTTTCTTCCTCCTTGATGCTGTCCCCTGCCCAGCAGCCCAAGCTTCTCCATTCGCTCACCCCCACCCTCGGCCATCTACACAACCCCCAAGCTCTCGAGAACGCCGGTACCGAGATGAGGGACGTCCCGAATGCCGATGTGTTCAATTCACCATCGCTTCTTTCTTTCGATGATGATGCTGGAGGTGCTGGAGGCGCTGGAGGCAGCAACTCGGTTTCCAAGCACAACGACACCCAATCCCAGAAGCTGTCGCAAGACCAACGCGACCAGCTTTTCTCTCTTGCGGGTCGAATCCTCGAAACCATTCGCTTCGAATCGGAGAAGGTGCAATTGGACCACGCGTTCACTATGGATTACGTCCGAAAGCTGCTGACTGGACCCCTTCTCCCTTCGAATGCCTGGAATCTGTATCAAACGTTCGCGTTGGATCCTCAGAATCTAGAGAAAGAATCACGGCGTGTATTCAGCAACGACGTTCCTCTGGAAGAGTGCCGTGCTCACTTCCAGTCGGGGCATCGCCTCAACGAGGCTTATCACGGCTGGCAGACTGAGACTGAGGCGGCAGGGAATGATCCCATCGTCGTTCTCAGACACTGGGAAATCTTGAAGCAGCGGGACGTGACGGAATCGATGGCCAAACGCGCCAAACGCTTTGTGCGTACATCTAACGATGTGAACAAGATGGTCAGTAATCTTACATCCATCTGATATCATTCGTTTCTCACAATATTTGTAGCTCTTGAAAGTGGAAGCCAATGGCTTCCAATGTTTCACCATCGTTGTTGGCGGCCGTGGGCAAGACGATGCGGCACTCGGAGAAATCATGGTGACACGCCTACGGAGCGTATGAGCGCGCAGCCGTACGGGGAGAGACACGGGACTAGTCGGAGGTCGAGGGGAGTGAGCTGCGGCTCTGGCTCGCGCAGTATTTGTGTGTGGGATTCTGATCCTAAACAAGGTCAGGCTCGAGGAAATGAGCTCGACTGAAACGAGCAGGGGCCGTGGTGAGCAAAAAAGGGGGGGACGGAGGACAAGTCTAGGACGGTAGGACAACGATGGGGGCGAGCGATGGGACGACGAGACGATAGAACGACGAGGGGAACCAATATGTAAGACTGTAGCACAAAATGGGAGTTTTGGGGGCGATGTTAGGGAAATAATGCAGAAGCGGGCGCCGAGAAAGCGAGATAGAAAGCACTGGGAAGTCGCTTTAGACTCTAGAGAGTGGGTGAAGAAGATTTCTTGGTCCTTCTTGTACTGTACTACAGGTTTTTTATACTAAGTGTGAATTAAATCCGAGGAGATAAATAAATTGAACCTCCTGTTGATATGGTGACCATTGAGCTCTGTGTTAATTTACTACTTAGTCAGCGCTGAATTTCGCCGAAATGAAGGTGTTAGAGCCACAAAGAGGGAATGAACTCCGAAATTTGATTTCGGCCCGACACTTGTCATCACGTGCCAGATCAATTGTGGCTGCTTTGTCAGCTCAAGCAGCTTGCTACGTCATACCATGTGACATGTGATCAATTGATTGCGGGGCCAGGGTGTATCCACGCTCGTCAATGGCGACCTCCGGCATGGCTGAGGTACGATTGCTGCCTTCCAGCTCTTTCGAAAGCTGACTTCGAACTCTTTCAGTTCCCGGTCAGTCTGCAACGATCAGCAGATGTTCTGTTCAATGCTGCAACGGAGTGTTGCACGTGGGTCTTTTCTTTTTCATTCCTTCTTGTGCATGAATCCTGAAAACCGGCCAGTCACTTCAATCTCGACATGCACTACCGGGCGATTGAGGGAATCGAGATCGGCACCACGGCCACCAATTTCAGCCTTGCCTCCGCCGCCTCCTCTACCTCCAAGTTGGGTGGGCGGCAGTCACTGCCCAACCCTGCTGCCAATAACACTTCCGCCGAAACCTTTTGGCAAATTGCTCGGAAACTCTCACCGCATCTGGACAACAAACAAGGTGACGGCTTGTTTAGTCGGCTGCGGACGGCACTGCGCAAATGGAGCGAGCGCAGTCTTCGCTTCGACATCTTCGCTGAAACCAAGAACGGCTTCGCTTGGAATAGTCTCGCGTCCGAGGTCCTTCTGATGAAGCACGTCATCATCCTCGGTTATCCCGACCACGTCCGACTGCCTCCGGAGATGAACGCCAACAAGGGTCTGAGCGACTTTAGGGTTTTCGAGTGCAAGGCGCTGGAAACTCTTTCCAAGTCACCAAGGGGGCTCATAATCATGTCCTCTCCAGCTGAGCTGAGCCCAGGTACGTCGCATCCCTCCAGGTTTTGAATAGCATGTACTAATTCTATTCGTTCAGAGGATCCAGTAATCTACTGCCACAACTATGATTGCGAGGATCTGCCAGACTCGAGCGATCGTGACCCGAGATACCACTCGAATGGAGACTTCACCCTTGGGCTCAATGGGCACAACCAGCTCATTGCCTTCAGGTTTGACCTCATGCGGGCTCCCCCGTATTGGGACATGACGGTGCTAAAGAGCGGCATCAGCTCGAAGAAGGCGGAGGTCATTGCTCGTATCCAGGGTGCTCGAATCAGCTCGCCTCAACAACGCCGGGTCCGGACGCAGATCAAGACGGAAGGGTCCACTGGACCTTCCAAACGCAAGCGCAACACTTCAGGCAAGGGCAAAGGCAGAGCGGAGAGTAACGTTGAAGGTGACAGCGAGGTTGAGAGCGACGTGGAGGAGAACTCAAGACCAACGCGACGAGCTCGAGCAGCGACGAAGACTGCGGAGGCGGTGGAGGCGGTGGAGGCGGTGGAGGATGCTGCGGAAAGCTCGGGAACAGTGAAAAGTCGGCCATCACGAAGGACTTCTCGCAAAGCGACAACGGCTGCTGGCAAGCAATCAACACCGCAGTCGACTGCAAAAGCTCGTAGGGGCCGGAAGGTTGCGACAGCGGATTTCGATGAGATTCCGCTTCTCTCTGCGCAACAGGTCCAGGAGAGGGGTGGAGCGGCGATGATTCTGCGGCCGAGGACGAAGGGGGAGCCAACGCGCAGGCAGCAAACCCGGCAGAGCGGCGACAGCTCTCCATCGGGGTCCGAATATTTTGGACCGGAGTCGGAGGAGGAAACCGTGCAACGGGAAATCCGTCGCAAAGCGTCGCAGCCAGCGGCCACTTTCGTCCCGGCTTCGCTGCCGACATCGACTCCGCCCAATGCACCTCGAGCCGAGAACGCAACCAAGAACGTGCCAGGAGTCTCTTTTGCCGAAACTCCCACCCTGGTGAGAAAACGGCAAGCAGAGCGTGCTCAGTCCGAAAGCCACACCGCCAAGAAGCAGAGTATGGGAAGTGACAAAGGTCAGTTTCTGTATTTCATTCCCTACGCAGCAGGCTGAAATGATACCTAGGAGAGTCTGGCACCAAGGAGGCCAGTAGCAGCAAAATATCGGCACCAGCAGCACCCGCGAGACCGGTCCCAAAACCTCGGCGTGCGGCAGCAACACGGTCATCAAGCATGGCGGCTCCAGCTGCAGATGCAACACCTGCGCCTCCACCGCCTCCAGCCCCTCCCAGTTCCTCAGAGGCTGCTCTGCCTGATCAAGAAGCCGTCCCTTCGAGTTCGACATCGATGAACGTGTCAGCTGATCAAATTCAAGCGTTGGTCACACAAGCACTGCAAACCATGCTGAATGACGGAGTGATTCAGATGACGGGTCACTGAATGTCATTGGAGTCGTCATCTACATTGCTGGGGGTTCGGTGATTTTTTCAATCTGTTTCTCTTTCCTCTTCAGCTTGCTTATTGTGTTCCACAGCTAAAATAAATCTTGTCATATTACACTTGTCTGTCCAATATCTTGTACCATCTATCATAGTGTCAACATTTGCAATCGAATACGTGACTTTTGTTTATTTGGAAAACAATGTGAACAATGGCAGAGGTCGGGACTGCCGACTAGTACTTGATTGTTCTAGTGATGGGTGGTTGTGGAGGTCCCCGAGGTCGCCAAGCGTCACTCCCCGTCTTACTGGACTGGAACGACTGTGAATATCACCTGCATGAAAGGGAATGACCGCTTTTCTATTTCAAAAAGAAATTAGAGCAGTTGAATGCAATTTATTTGTAGCGGAATCCAACAAAACCGCTTGGGTCCCCGGCTGGGGAGGCGGTGGAGGCAGGATCTTTGTCTGGTGCTAACATCTGACCCACATGCCGAGATGTCTCACTGCGAAGTGCATGGCACGGGGATGGGGATTGAAACACGATTTTTACAATTCAGGAGTTTTGCAGGAGTATCCAAGTGGAACAGCTGAATCCACGATAACCGCTTTGGTGCTAGCATCAGATCGACCCGCTAAAATCTGTCCCAAGTCTTCAATTTTTTTTTGGTGCGGCTGGATCCACGATGATCGCTTTCTAACCGCGTTTCGTGCCCGGCTGTGGAGGCCGTGGAGGCCATAACTGCCATCGGTGCCCGCATCAGATCTACCGGCTGGGCCGCCCAGCGGGAGGACTTTCATCATCCAGAAGAGGACTTGGTATGCTGGAGACATGTCTCGTGCGGCTGGATCCCCAATGATCGCTTTCTAACCGCGTTTCGTGCCCGGCTGTGGAGGCCATGGAGGTCATCTCTGCTATCGGTGCTGGCATCAGATCTACGTGCTTGACTGTTGTTTTTAGAGAGTATAAGCGTCAAATTGATCTACTGAAGGTAATTCAAGCGCCTGTGGGCTACCCAACGCCTTTTCTTTCTGACCCTGGGAGGTCGTGGAGGCCGTGATCCCTCCCTTGCATAACATCTCAATCTTGTATGCAGACGCCAGTCTTTCATGCTCGATCTCGCAGGAATACACATCCCCTTGCCTCATACACTTGGGCCATGCTAATGCGCTCAAATCCCAGATTTTGGGTGCCCAGTGGCCCACCATTTGCGAGCAGTAAATACAGGCTTCTGGGAGCTAAGACAGTTTCTGAGACTTAATAATGACTACTGAAGCATATATCAGTACCAAGGCCGATCCCCAGCCTACGCCTGAGTACCATGCAGGCTGTGGACAAATGGCCAGGCAGCGTCCCAATTAGGAAGGCGCCTCCAGAATGGCCTCCGATCAGGGGGGGTAGGGGGTGGTTTGATGGCCTCCGGAGGGGGCCTCGAAGCCATTTTACGTCATAATTGGAGGTCCCTGGGGTGCCCATCACCACGGTCCGTCCGCCTCATCATCCATCGCGAACGGCCGCTTCGGGCTTCCGTGTGCGAAAATGCCGAATGGCGGAGGAAATAGGACCGAGCGACACACGTAATACACATGCTTCCGCTCTTTTTTTTTTTGCGCAGAAACTCACAGTGGAAAGGCTTCAACCAATTCAAGACAACTCTGTTCCTCCAGCACGGAGCGGTGCTCCTTTCGAGACGCCAGCGGCTGAACGTTCAGTCAACACGCGTGTGAGATGCCTGATTTTTTGTGCACCAGGACTCGAGTGTCTCGCACGCTACTTACATTCAAACCAACGTTGACAAGAAGTAATCTAGCTGACGAGGATCTCGGCCAGCTCCGCTGTCAATCAGACAAGCATTGATGGGAGGTCGTGGGCAACTTTACCTCCCTTTCTTTCACAGGATGCACAGAAGCACATGTACGCCCACACAGACCCATATGCTCTGGCACCGGATTTCCGCCCGATTCGGAGGACGCCCTTGTTCTTGTCGGGGAACGCGACCACCCGTCTGGCATTGTTCTCCCAATGTGGAAGAAAACACCAAGGCGATGCTAGTGACTAGCGGGCCTAGTCTTCCTGTCGGACGCGGATATGTGCGTCCTTGGGACCGGGAGCTATTCGCGCTTTGTTGTTAGGATGACGGCTGGGTGCGCTTTGCCAGCCATCACGGAACCGCTTTGACCTGACTGGGCACAAAGCACGGCTAAGCGATGCTCGATATAAAGCCTTCTGCGCGGGGGCCTGACCGCCACCCAAACTTGCCTTCCGCGCTCTGGCCCTAGCATTCAGATTCAGATTTCCATCCTAGCCCAACGACACCAGCCTCAGCTACCGCGACCGGCAATGTCTTTTACGACACTCCCTGCTCAGGAGTTCTCGTACTCGGACGAGCTGTTCCAGCGCGACTGTCTCATCGACGTACAGGGCGTCGTGGTGTCCCTCAGAACCAAACTCGAGGGCACGGCCTACATCACCATCGGGGACGAAGTCGACCGACAGCGGATCGAGCTCCGTCTCTTGGTCAGTCCACTCCTGTTTAGCACGCTCCGACGCACTTACTTATACCTTTATTTCATCATCCAGCCAGAGAATTTCTCTGACAAACTCAAGATCTTCGTCAAGACGAGTGTAGTGCGCACGGACGCTGCTGAACGCCCAGCGGAGGGCCAGGCGCGAGGTGCGCGCGCATCCTGGCGTTCCGAATCCCATTGTTTCTCACAGCTCCGATAGCGCCGCAGCCCTTCCTCCTCGACGACGCAGCCACGGAGTTGCGCTCGCGCTCTGCTTCTCCGCTGGGCTTCGGGGCGTCCTTCATGATCCCCGAGCCGGGCACGGGGCGCAAGCGCAAGGCGTCTGCGCTCAAGTCCGCGATGCGCAGGACCGCCGAGCGTGACGATGACGACGATGCCAGGCAGTCCAAACGCACTCGGTTCATCAAGTCCGAAGCCGTCGACGGATTCGACTCGCTGCGCAGCGAGGCGTCGCGGTACGCGCCCCGCTTCGACGAAAACCACACGAGCCGGGCCGGGCGCATTCCTCTCGAGGGACTGATCGTCATGTCAGATGAGGAGACGGCAGAACCCGACGATGGGACGCAGCGCAAGAACGCCGGGAGCGACGGCGGAGGCGGAGGCGACGCCCACAGGCCCCCCAACAACTTCACCTTCGCGATCCCCGAGGCGCCGCTACCCAGCCTGACCCGCCCGCGGGCCGCCCTGGGTAATCCCTCCGGCCATCGCCCCGTGATCTTCTACCCCCGCCCTGGCACCCCCGAGATTGTCTGGGAGCCCGTCCCCGTCGATGAGACGGACGGGCCCGGGCCCTCGCGGCCGGACTCCCCGCCGCCGCCACCGCCTCTTATGCGCACGAATGCGCGGCGCCTGAGCCCGACGGACCCGGATCTGGGTCCGTGCTCCAGCCCCTTTGCGGCGGCCCCGGTAGATCTTGCCTCTGCTCCGTCTGTGTACCTCGGGCTGGAGCGTGCTAAGAGCAGGCGCGGCGGCCCGTAGACGTGAAGCACTTTTTTTGCGTCGGAACACCTGTGCGTTCCCCCTGCGCTGCCTCGTAGCGTAGTCCATCTCACTACCCCAATGTATTCCTCTTCTGCTCCCATACTTGTAGAACGTTGCTCCAATGTAATGGTCCAGGCCAGGACTCACTCTGGCGAGTCCTGTTCTATTCGTCTCGTCCATCAGTGCTGGGGCGCCAATCGAATGATCAAGCTTCGTCAGAGGGACGATCTCTGGTTTGAACTACATACATAGTTGTAATGCAACAAACGCTAACTCTCTCATTGCATATGGCCAGGTGATAGGTCACGGCCAGAGGTGATAGGTCACAGAAAGTCCGACTAAGCGTGACCACATTCATTCCAGTACTGCACAGCATTTCTAGGCTGCTGTTTCATAGGTTAATCCGCATAAATAGCATACAATCACGAGTCGATACATCATAACTTCGCCTGCAGATCATCGGACGTGCCCAAGAACCCCGCAAAGTAGTCTGCAAACACGTGCGTCAGCTCAACGGCAGTCCCAGGAGTGAAGAAACAGCGCGCACCATTCAAAGCCAATCCCCCGTCCTTACTCAACTCCACGACCGCACCGACGTATCCATCCGGCCGCACCACGACGACCGCACCCCGCTCGAGCGACACCCCGAGCTTGAAATGCAGCGGCGCATTGGTCCCCGCCTCAGGCACCCGCCGGTCAAACAGCGCATCACCATACAGCTGCGAGCGGTAGAGCCGCAGCGGGTCCGGCAGATCCGCCGCCTCCCACTCGTACCAGTGCGTCCCCACGACCGTCAGGAATGTGAAGAACGGGTTGTACACGTGGGCCGCGCTGGCGCCCTGCACGTCGGCGGGGCTGTCGACGATCGACGACACCAACGCGCGGGCAGCCCGGTGCCGGTTGAAGAACGATTCTGGCGAGTTGACGAAGGACGCAAACGCGTTCAGCGACGGCAGCGTGTGTTTCAGGTCGCCTGCGAAGACGTGGATCCGGAAGGCGCCGTTCATCTTCACCTCCTGCTGCAGTCGCACCTGGTTCCCGTCGACAACCCGTGTCACGCGGCCCGGCGTCAGCCTCTGCCCAGCGACGATCTTGACACCCGCGGGATTGAAGGCGCGCCCGTATCTGCTGCGGACGACCAGCTCCGCATCCGGAAGCGCGTTCAGCGCGTTCGCGCCGTAGATCGCGCCGCAGCCCGATGTGAAGAACGCGTTCTGCTTGAACATCTCGATAAACTTCTCCGCGTCGACTCCACCCGACAACTGGCTGGCATCTGGCGCGCGGCCCGAGAACAACCGCGAGTACGCACCGTCGAATTTCAGGAGTTCCTGCGCTATGCCTCGTCGCTCATGTTCATATGATGGAAGCAGAATCTCCGGGCGGCCGACACCTTTCATGACTAGATTGAGTCTGCAAACGACGTGTCAGCGGTCAAGGCATAGACATGTGCACAGTCACACACTTCCAAGCAAGGGAGTACATATCCAGCATGCTAATGTTCATTCCTTGTCCAGCTTTCGGGGAGTGCGTGTGTGTCTGGGTCCTTGGTGAGCTCATCCGTATGCGCAATGGGATTCGGGTCTTACGGCGTCGCCACCGAGGAAGATCCTGTGGTCTAGTGTATAAGACGAAGCGATCCGCTGTCCAATCTGGTACACGGAGAACCAGTCGACGTAACCGAATTCGAGCTTGAACGGCTCAAAGATCTTTTTGGCCCGAGCGATGCATATATCCTGAGTGCCTTGATCGCGAGCTAGAGATAAAGAAGTAAGAAACAACGGAAGGAAAAAGTCGACAGGCACATACCAATCGAATGCACCGTTCCATCAGGCTCAGTCGTCTGGAGCTGCACATAGAACCGGACCAGCCCAGATTCACGCGGGATGACCATGATGCTGCCCTCCGATCGTGAGTGGGTGAGACATTTGTATTGGAGGTCCGCTACAAGATGTGAGCGGCAGAGATCAGTGACGAGAAAAGCATCACGCACGGAAATCCGTCTTCACCCGAGCGTCCATGACGCCCCAGATGATATCTGTCCCCTCGCCCTGCATCGTGATCTTCCCCTGCCACTCTCCGTCCCCAACCGCTCCACCCGCAATGCACCGCCGCACGATGCTCTTCGCGCCATCGCAGCCCATCAGGTAACGCGAGCGCACCGTATACGTCGCCTTAGTGTCGACGTGCTGGATCACGGACTCGACGGGGTGCGAGCCCAGCGACGCATCGCAACGTGTGTTTTGTATGATATACGGCCGGAACAACCCGTCTGCCGGGGCCGGTGTCTTCGCGTCAGCAGGCAGCGCGCCCCTGCGCGCCTCGATCTCATCGAGAAACGCGCGCTCGATGAGGCCCTGGTGCAGCAGCAGCGTGTAGTTATCCACGACGTCGACAATGTCGGGGCACGACGGCGCGCGGGAGGTGCGTGCGAGCGGCGCCGTCGGAGTCGGGTCCCAGAACGCCACCTCGTACACGCGCACGCCCTGGCTGATCATCTTCTTCGCGAGCCCGCCGCCCGCCGTGAGCCCCGAGTGACCCGGGAGCGGCCCGCCGGGCGGGGGCGAGCGCGCGAGCGAGCCGATGTTGCGCAGGACCTGCGGCGCGCGTCAGCGGGTCGTGCGGATCGCGGGGAAACGGACGCAGGCGCACCTCGATGGTCCGGGGCTGGATGCCGTCAGCGCGTCCTGCCTCCGTCGGATGCGGCCGTTCGTCGATGTGCAGGATGTTGAAGCCGTATGTGGTGAGACACAGTGACGCCATGAGGCCCGCGGGCCCGCCGCCCACGATGACGACGTCGTATACTTTCTGCGGCACTGGATCGGTCGACATTGGTTTGATGAGGCGGAGCAGAGATGGATGTGCGGAAGGAGGAGGGGTCAAGGTGTGGTCAAGATCAAGTGCGGTCTTATGTGAATACGCCTAAGTATATCCGCACCACAGTCCCTATCTTGCAAGGCCTTTCACGGTCGAGCTGCTGTGGGGCAACGTGGTGGGGGCTCCGGGGTAGTTATATAGACTGGGCGGGAGTCACGCCGCGGACCGTCCGCTGGCGTCGGACGCGCGTGGATATGACGGAAATGTCGTGCGCACGAGCCTCCACGGTCGGATCTCGGCAACCGGTGTTCAACAGAAGCAGCTGCAACTGGGCCAGGAATGCAACCATTGCTGAAGCATCGAATTGTCACGAAGGATGAGGGGTTATAGAGAGATGGACAGGGTGATTGGGGGGTTGAGTTGAGCAACTAGCGATGCATGATTGGTGAAAAAAGGTGGACGATGGGAGCGGGCGCGTCAACAATGTCCAAGTAAGTCTGATGTCCAATCATGATGCGGTGATTTGTGTGATCCGTCTACCGCTCCTCTCCCCTTGGGAACTCAAGTAGTCACCACGCGATGTGGCGAAGCATACATTCTAGACAGCAACACCATTTGGAATACGAGAACTGAAATTTGATGAGAATGTCGGCCGCCTTGGCTTAGAGAGCAAGGCCGAGTGCGTGCCCACGCCACGGCTGCAATTTTCCTCGATTGACAATCTCTCTTAGCCGCGGGCCAGAGGGGAAGGAGATCGAGGATGTTACCGGTGCTATATGTGGCCTGCTCCTCCCGGAGGGAATCTAAATTGTGAACATCAAATGAATGCTATGTGGACGCAAACATATGGCTCTGAGATCCACCGACGACCTATTTCCTCAAGATTAATAATTGGCATTGCTCGACCAATAATCTGCTGAAACACTGGGCCTCCTAGAGGAGCTCAAAAATTATTGAAAGATTTCATTCAAGTCATAGAGCTCGAGAACGATTATTCTGAGCACATGTAACGGAACAGTTGTTGCTTTGTATCCGGCGATCGGCACTAAACACACCGATCACGTACAGGGTAATATACTCACCCGGATGATATCTTTGACTAACGGTAATGATACCTTGGAGGTTCAAAAATGCTGCTTACTCGAGAAATTCCAAGCGGATGGACTCAAAATTGCCTTCGGCACGCGCCACAGAAGCTCAACGGCCTATATTGAGTTGACAAAAGACAGTGCGAGCAAAAGTTATGCAAGATTCCTCAATGAAAACACAGAAATCCAGAATGGGTCGCCGATCATTTGCTAAAGGTCACCAAAATGACTATCACAGTTAAATCAAACGATCCAATTGCGAAGCAAGGCACAGTCCAAGCTGTACTGATACGCCATTCCCATCTGTCAGGGTCGTTGGCATGGAAGATAATTGCCTTGCTTGTCAAGGCTTCTCCACCCTCATAATTGTCTCGATTTCGTGCGACGCGGTCTCACCCGAGTTTCCGTTCTTTTCCGCTATGTTTCTGGTGATCACCCGTTCGACCCACAAGTACGTTTTCGACTTTTCCTCATTTCTGGTACTCTCAACTGTCCGTTCTCCCTCGATTCGACACTATTGATTATTATTATGTGCATGTGTCGTAATACTATCCTATCTTCTTTTTGCCGTGGGAATATTGGACACTTCGCGCTGTTACTCCGGCTTGCCTGCTGCTCCGCATGTATCAAACTCTTGCGTAGCGTCCTCGCTCACTCGCTCTTTATGCAGGTCGACGTTTCGCCCTCACTGTACGTCTACTGAATGTCCACCGTCCTCATTTTCTCCCACCACCCGCTCGTTGACGTATTATCCCTGAGTATATACCTGACTTGTAGGAGTGGGACCCGTATTTTGATCCAGTAGGACTCGGTTCCGGTCCTATTTAGGTGTCCGGTCCCACTAGGTATAGTCCGATCGCGTCCGCAATACGTAAATATGCTGGTCTTCGCCCCTGAGTTTGCTGAAAAGCTGACCAATGTCCGGACGAGCCCCCCGCCCGGATGCCCAGCCTACGATCACGTGTAACAACCTACCGCGATCAGCTGTGACAAGAACACGTCAAAAACACCTTCAGCTGTGAGGCACAGATATAATAACATGATTATGAGCAGAATGTAGCACTTACATGCATAGAAGGGGAATAATTAAATTTTCCGATGTCTAAAATAATGCCAGATTGGACATGTACACTACATGGCTAAATCCTTTTGGCGCTTCTTCGATCTCGTATCTTCTTCTATCTCGTGTCCTTAAGTAACGTGTCTGGGAACATCTACAGAAATTGAATGACATAGATTGAATTTTCTTGACGATCGCTACCAACGATTGTATAAATCATAAGTAATCATAAGTAATTACGAAGTAATCATAAGTAATTGGTATTACTACCGCCCTCTTGTTCGTTCCACCAGCTTCTAGACAATTCTGATATCTAGTATATATAAAGGAGGTATTCTACAGAATACTAGTTCTCATGCTGATACCACCAATAAACTTCGAGAAGGGAGCCATATACAAATGTCCGATAATAGGGGAAGTCAAAGCTCTTTACGCGGAAGTGATTCGAACAGTGATTCAGGTGTGATTCAAGTGTGATTCAAGTGTGATTCGGTTCGCTGATTCGGCGTGAATCACTGCAGAATCACTGCAGAATCACCTTCGAATTGACCACCCACTTTTTGCGCGTATATACTTCCTGTCTTTATCTACTAGATCGTTGTCTACGGCTTCACTTTCGGTTTCGGTTTGGGGCCGGGCTTCTTTTTGGGTGCCGGTGTGTCCTCAGCGCCCTCAGCAGCTTCGGCCTTCTTCTTAGAGCCGCGTTGTGCCATTGCAGTGGTCTAGTCGGTAGCAGTAGCAAGAGAAGTCTGAAGTCACTCGGAATAGTTCTACACGTGATGAAAGTCCCATAGCTAGGGTTAGGTTCCAAAGTGATTCTGATTTTCGATTCATCCATGAATCACCTCCAGAGGTGATTCGGCGATTCGAGGTGATTCGGTGATTTGATGGCACTTGAATCACCTTTCGAATCACCTCTGAATCGCTTTCTAGATCACCTTCCGAATCAAAGCTTTGACTTCCCCTAATCACGAAGTTTCCTCAATGGAAAATCTTGAATCTTTGACTCAAAATGAGAGTCGTCTGACCCGAATTGAGTGCCCATAGAGCAGGAATAAATACAATACACCCCGTGTATTGTAAAATCAACCTCACATGTGAAGGCTGTCCATCTGCTCCGCTCATTCCGGCCGGTCCACCGCCCGCAGATGACAATCATCACTGGTTGATCCAATGGAACTGAAAGCAGTGGGACTCGTAGCCGATCACACGTGCCTTCAACAAGCTCCAGTGGGACCCGGGTCGGTCCCACTCCTACAGGTTTGGTCATTTCTCATTATCCCTCTCTAATCTTGCATCTTCCTGCAGCAATGCCACGTCGTGGCCTTTTTCGAACGTCGCGTCATCGAAATCACGAAGCAGTCGAATCGTCTCCCTGCCCGAGCTGCGTGATAACGCGACGTAAACATTGAATAGACTCAGCCCTCCGCTGGGCGGTGTCGCGATGTCGACGAGGACATTCTTCAACGTCTGACCTTGCGAACGATAGTCCGTGAATGCGTACGCGCCTGTTAGTGGAAACTGCCTTCGCTGGATTGTTTTGGTAACCGCGGCTCCCCCCGAAATAGTGGTTTTGACACGGTACGTTGTCTTTGCTGGCTCGATCGGAAGGACTCCCATGTCCAGCCCTGCCAGTCTCGCTGCCTTTGTCCGCTCAAATCTAACCAGGATATAGGCGGGTAGCTTCTTGAGCATGACAATGGTCTCATGCCCAAGTTCACCTTCGTCGGGATGCAGCACAATCGACTGGATGATTCCTCTTGCACCATTGGTCAGATCGAGATCCGTCTCAATGTTATTTGTCACAAGGACTTCCATCCCGATTGCGAGTTCCATGCTGTGCACGAGATCCTTCTTCATACTGTTCTTGGTGCGTTTCTTGCTGCACAGGTGTTCAGCGAGTGCATAACGATCTTTCATTGACAGCGCCTCCCCCCGGTAACTGTCTTCAGCTTTGCAAATGAAGATCTGCTGTTTCTTCGTCGACAGAATCTCCGAAGCGCTGCCTCATTCCAAGGCACTCGCACACCGTGACGGGGCGTGACCTTTTTGTCGCTCGTCAGTATCTGCACTTTCCGCCAGAGATCATCACTAACCAACGTTGCGTCCTTCCACGGCCCTGTGTTCATGTTGTCCTGCGGTCGTATGACAAGCGTCCTCAACATTGCGAGATGATGCTCTTGAACGTCTCCGACGCGCAGATGCCGAAGGAAATCAAGCCAAACGACGTCTGTGTCGCGCATCTGCTGTTTCAATATCACCACTGTGGTGAATTCTTCATAGATTGACCTTCCAACTTTGGTATTGAGACTGTCGCCAGGTTGCGGGGGATGGTACAATGCTTGTGTCGGTGACGTGGCCACCGGGGGGAATTGATGGAAGTCGCCACACAAAATGACATTGATGCCGCCAAAAGACTTGTCGCTGCTCGACGCCTTCCCAATTCCAATGTTACGTGAAAGCTGCGCCAAGAAGTCCTTGCTGATCATGGAAATCTCGTCGATGATCAGGTAAGAATATCCTTTCCAAAACTCCTGCAACTTCCCTTTGTTGGCGTCACTCATTCTCCCACTGGCAGATATGCCACCGATAATGTGTGTCGTTTTACCATCGATCAACGATGCTGCAATGCCGGTGTATGCGGCTTTGATCAGGCGCCCTTTCGCCCCTCGCTCCTCAAAGTTGCGCGTTACTTTCGTTATCACTTTTGATTTGCCCGTTCCACCTTCTCCGTGTATGAGCATGCGCAGGGGAGGCACATCGTCACCCGCCAGCGAGCGCGCAAGGTGCCAAGTGATAATGTCATAGGCACGTTGCTGGTCCGGCTGTAATACAATATCGGGTTCTGACGTGCTGCCCAGGGACGATGGACAATTGGAGAACTCTTTGTATGTGGATGCCTGCAATGTGGCCCTTTCAATCGTGCTTGATGTGATGCGTTCAACACTGGGCGCCACAGGTGAGGGTTCAGCAGCTTGACCGTTCGCCGTTGCATCATTTGCGTGACCAGTGCCATCAGCAGGCGAGAACCCTCCATTCTGCACACGGAGATGGTTGTCCAGCTGCTTTCGCCACGCGATAAGTTTGACAAAGTCACTGCCGACCGCAGGTGCCACTTGAATAGTCGATGGTACAACCTCAACGTTCCAGGCAGACTCGTCCATCTCGAAGATCTTCACAAGACGCGCAATCTCCAATGCGAATTGTCCATGTGAGTATTCCCGTGCTGACACTTGATTGTCGATCAAGCTTTGTATAGCTTCTTCCGTGATCACAGAGTCTGTGAGGTGAAGGGCATCTTCTCCAAGCGCTGGGATCCCATCATTGTCGGGCGAGTGCACCCTTTGATCTGCGTCATCGAGCTCTTCGACGTCGTTTCTGCTGGCCAAAGCCGCCAATTCACAACCGTGATAGAATTGGATATTCGCCAGGAGGTCATGAATGCGCGGAGACGCCGATTGGTAAAACAAATCGAATGCTGCCGGCCAGGTTTGATCAATTGTCTTCAGGTCATCCTGCAGCACATGCCAAGGTTTCAAAAGCATGAGCATGCACGCCATGTAAAAGTCTTGGTCCTCTTCGTCATCGCGCCTCGGGAACCACTGCCCGATGAAATTGGGAAAGGTGTTGTGACCGACTAAACGGATGATGCGCTGCTTTTGGTCGTGACTTGGGTGAGTGTCCTGATAGCGAACACGTATGTTTCTGGGCCGACCCCGTTGAAGCTTCCCGCTCACATGTGTGACCTCGTCGGTTGGCTGGCATCCACTCTCGCGTTCCTTGGACGATATGTCACTTTCGTATGTGTCCACAAAATAATCCATCATGTTATAGTCCGCCAACTCTGTGCCCCGCTGCGAATAATCGATCACTTGCGACTTGACAAAGATACGACCGGCGGAGTTCAACTGCAATGTCACATTCGAGGCGCCGGTGATCTGCGCGGGACATCAGCGCGTGTGTGTGGGGAGGAGTGGTGTACGCACCTCATCGTCGGCATGCTCTGTGGATGTGCCACCAGCGAGAGCAGGGTTAGGTGCGACATCGACATTGTTATTGGTGTGCCTACTGTGGTTCATGAGGACAAAGGGCGCGTGCGGACAACTGGGGCTGCTAACCTTTTCCTTTTGAGCAAGGGGTGCGCACGCAACAGGGCTGAGACAAATGACGTCCAATAGATTGGCACGTAGTTGTGTGAGTGGTACCTGTCACCCCACCCCATCAAATACGACACAACCATGGGCGCACCCAATTCTTGCTCGCGATTTATCGCATGGATCAGGCAGAAGAGCATAAGCTGCTGCTTGTCGCGCAAGCTTGTGACCAGTTCACCGGCCATTGTGTTAGGATGCGCAACATGGTATGCATAACCCTTGGCAAGAATAGCTGAAGTATTGTGGTGTCGCATCTGTGGTTTTGCCGCGTAACCAACGATATACATCGCGACACTTTGTGTTGCAGTACCGTGTGTCAGAAATTTCATGTCGTTGTTGCAACGCACATTGACTGATACACCTGGAATCCATGCATTCAGGTACGGGTATAAGCGCTTGGGTCCCCAGTCGCCACTCTCGTGTACGAAGTCCTCTTCAGCACATTGGAAAGGCGCCCTCTGCTTGCACCGCAATCGACCCGATTTCGTCACCACGAGACAACGCCTGATGTCACAAGTATGCACTTGCTCTGTGCGGACAACACGTCTCTCGAAAGCGGCAAGCTGGGCACTGTAATCACTGGCATCGGGATGAGGAGGTCGGTTGTAAGCGATCTCCTTCTCAACTGGCAATTGCTTGACTGATGCTTCGCTCTCTAGCCCAGGGAGATAAGCACGCAGATTCTCCTTGATGTAGGCAATGATACAGTGGCGGAACGTCTCGCTCTTGAGGAGCTCAATCATCTCATCTGCATTGGGGGCATGTCTGAGCGCAGCCAGCAAATGAAAATGAAGAGACGCCCGATTTTGTCCCTCAACCAAGCCAAAGTAAGCGGCAAGTTCACCGAGGATCCCCATGTGACTGCGAGCTTGAAAAGAAGAGCATTCCATGCCAAAGAGGATCTCGAGGATGAGTCGTATCATGAAGTGAAAGAATTTGGCTGCTGCATACGGATCTGCGGCAATATTGCGACCACGCTCATCACTATCAGGTCCAGCGGTGGAAAGGAAGTTGTCAAGGTCGATTCGTTCACCTGCAAACACCTGCGCAATCGGGTCGTGGATGTCTGAAGGGTTTATCGTGATCCACAAGTTCCATGGGCCTGCGACAATTGTGGTGGACCAAAGTTGACTGCGGAGCGTGGTGCGTGATTCATTGGAACCTTGGATGCGACTCACGGCGAAGTGGACATGTTGGCGGAGGAGTCTGACGGCAGGGTTGGATATGGGCTGCTTGCGTTCTTCCTCCACTTGCGCTTGCTCAAGTGCGGCTTGTGTGATTTGAGACAAAATCCGGGAGTCCCTTGTAAGGGCAACCTCGAGGCCCGATCTCAGAGTCCTGACAAGGGAGAGTCCAAAGCGTCAGATAAGAGGATCGACTAGTACAGGAGACTGGCAAACCTGACAAGGGAGAGTCCAAAGAGAAACCGAGTTGGGGACTCTCCTTGTCAGGGCCCACTATATATAGCCTACAGAACAATGGATGACCAAGCACAATGGAAGCGCCAGACAATGGGGCCAGGGGACGATGAGGGGCCGGATCAGGGGGAACAATGGGAGCCGGACCGTCGGGACAATGGGGGTCCGGGCCGGAGTGTCATGTGGACGTGCTTGGCAGGGAGGTCCGGACCGAAGCATGTGACGCCTGACAGATGGCGCGTGCACGGTCACATGCAAGATCCCAGGATGATCGGACGAAAGCAGGGGTTCCCCTGACATCACCCCCCCTCTTGATTGCGGCGCCTCGACGCAAGGTACGGTTAGGGGCCAATGAGTTCCTGAAGGGTAGCGAGTCGAATACGGCTGCTGCAATGACGCGTGGCTTTCCCGGGTATCTGCGGTAGAACGCTGCCACTGCGTCGTCAGCAAAAACATCTGAGTGCTTGACCCACTGGTCATGAGACGGGTCGTAGCCCTTCCATCGTACTTGGAACCAGACACTCTGGTAGCGCATCTTTGCGTCTAGGATCTCCTCCACTTCCCACTCCTCTCCTTCGCCTTGTCCCAGGACAGGGGGTGGTTCCTCGTGACGCAGGCGAGTGGGGAACGGGTCGTCTTCGGCCAACTGGAGCTTGACCACAGGGAAGACTGGGTGGAGGCGAGAGAGGCTGGTGGGGAGGGCGAGCTTGTATGCGCCCCGGCCTACGACTTGGGTGACTTTGAAGGGGCCCAGGCGTCGGTGGGAGAGGCCGCGAGAGGGTCGCGTCGTCGTGATGTCTGAGGCGTTGAGCCAGACTCGGCTGCCAACCTTGATGTCGGGAGCGGTAGTCCTTCGTCGGTCATAGTACCTCTTGTACTCGTCCTTTGCTTTGACAAGTGCCGATTTAGCCTCGGTTACACCTGATGCGACCCGGTCCAGAAACTCATTGGCGGACTCTGCTCGGGTGGAGCGCTGCTCTGTTGGCTCGAATCCCATGCGTGGTAAACGTCCCGTGTCCGTCATGAAGGGAACCTGCTGGGTCAAGGAGTGGACGTGGTTGTTGTAAGCGAACTCAGCTGCGGGCAAGAGCTCATCCCAGTCGTCCTGCTTGTAGCTGGTGAAGATCCGGAGGTACTGCTCCAACTCCTGGTTAACCCGTTCGGTCTGGCCATCAGTCTGCGGGTGGTAAGCGGTGGACGTGGCAGGGGAGACGCCAACCAGCTTGGGTGAAGTCTGCCACAAACTGAGGGCCACGGTCCGAGACGTATTTGATGGGTAATCCGTGGTGTCGCCAGACATGCTTGTAGAATAACCGAGCCATCCCTTCGGCCGAGAGGCGAGTGTGGCACTCGATGAAGTGGGCACGCTTCCCCAGCATATCAACGACAACCATGATGGCGTCGTAGCCGTGCGCCTCAGGCAGCTCCACGATAAAGTCCACCGACACCGATTCCCAATGTTCCGAGGGGATCTCCGTGGGGTGAAGCTCTCTGGTGGGGAGTCGTCGGAGGGCCTTGGTCCGACAGCACAGGTCGCAGGTGGCCACGTACCGGCCAACATGTCGTGAGAGCTGGGGCCACCAGTAGTTCCGGGAGACCAGCTCCAGCGTCTTGAAGCGGCCAGCATGCCCCGCAACGCGGGTGTCATGATGTTGCTCAAGGATGCGTCGCCGTAGGTCTCTGTCGCGCGGGACCACTAGCTTCCCACGGAAGTAGAGGAGGCCGTCCTGGATGCGCCATTCCGCTGCTACAGCGGAGCGGGCCCCCTTCATCCCTTTCAGAAGCCGTCGCGCTATAAGCGCAAGTTCTTCCTCAAGGTCAGGGTCACCGGAGAGCGATTCCCGAATGTCACGGACAAGCGGGGCTTCCGGGCCAGAGACAGACAGTCCTTCGAGTGCTTGCACATGGAACAGTTCCGGTTTCAACAGGGTAACGTCCGTGTTGTCCGAAGGGGCTCCGTGGTCCGGGCGTCGGGAGAGTGCGTCTGGTCGTCCCATGAGCCGACCGGGTTGGTGGTGGAGCGTGAAGTCGAAGCGGGATAGGTAGAGCGACCATCGGGCTTGCCGGCGATTGAGGTTCTGGGCCTTGCGGAAGTACTCCAGGTTCTTGTGATCGGTCCAGATCTCCACCGGGTACTCGGCGCCCTCCAAGAAGTGCCGCCACTCCTCTAGAGCTCGCACAATTGCAAGCATCTCTTTGTCGTGGATCTCGTAGTTGCGCTGGACGTTGTTAAGGCTTTTGGAGAAGAAGGCGACTGGGTGCCACTTGTCGTCTGAGGGGGACTGCTGCGAGATGACGGCTCCTGTGGCAAAATCGGAGCTGTCAGCCTCTAGGCGATAAGGACGGGAGGAGTCTGGGAGGAGAAGAACCGGCGTAGAGGTAACCGCATCCTTCAAGGCCTGGAACGAAGTGGACTCGTTGTCGCCCCAAGACCATGGTACGTCCTTCTTGGTGAGGTCAAAGAGCGGGCGTGCAACGTGCGAGAAGTCCCGGATAAACCTCCGATAGAAGTTAGTGAACCCAAGGAACTGCTGCACTTCCTTCTTGTTAGAGGGGGCCGGCCATTCGGCCACGCCTGCCACTTTGACGGGGTCCATCTCGACGTGGTTGTGGGAGATGATCACGCCGAGGTACTCGATGGACTCCATCTCGAATTCGCACTTCTCGGCTCGGAGGTACAACTTGTTTTTGCGGAGGCGCCGGAGGACTTCGTTCACAATACGACGATGGAGGTGAGGATCGGAGTGCGCAATGAGGATGTCGTCCAGGTACACCATGACGTCGCCCGAGAGGATGAGGTCCTGGAGGATGTCATTCATCATGGTCTGGAACGTCGCGGGGGAGTTGGTAAGGCCGAAATACATCACCAGTGGCTCGAAGAGCCCACGGTTGGTCCGAAACGCAGCCTTCCACTCGTCTCCTTCTCGTATCCGTACGTTGTTGAAGCCCCATCGAATATCGAGTTTGGTGAAGAAGCGGGCACCCTTGAGCTTGTTGATCAGGTCGTTGATCAAGGGGAGGGGGTACCGGTTCTTCACTGTCATTGCATTCAGTGCCCGGTAATCCTGGACAAACCGTAGGCTGCCATCCTTCTTCTTGACAAAGAAGACGGGGGAGGCCATGGGGGACTTCGAGGGTCGGATTTGGCCGGTGGCCATGCCTTCTTTGATGAAAGCGTCGAGCTGCTTCTGCTCCAAGGGGGAGATAGGGTAGACCTTGCAGTTTGTTGGCTTTGCATCGGGCACCAGTTCGATGGCGTGGTCCCAAGGGCGACGTTCCGGAAGATTGTCGAAGGATTCCTTGCTGAAAACATCCTCGAACTCGCGCGCCCACTCGGGTATGGAATCTCGAGAGGGGGCGGAGTTCTTGGCAAACGCCTCTGCAAGACGCTGGGAGACGGTGCTAGTGGCTCGGATGTTTTCAGAAGGGTTGAAACGGGTGTAGAAGATACGGTCACCGGTTTCCAGACAGTCTTCCTCTTCATCGGAATCTTCTCCGTCGTCTTCCTGGAGTAGCGGCATAGCCTCGTCTTCGCGGTCTTCTATGTCGACGACGCAGATGGAGGGGGCGGGGCCTTGTCGGGCTGACCGGAGTGCTCGGGCCGAAATTCGGGCTATCCGTCTCTCTTGGCGAGACTCCTCGGTGCAGGTGGAGCAGCCGGACGGGCAGCGGCTCATCTTTACTTCCTGCGTGTCCCAGTTAATTTCCGGGTTGTGCTTCCGAAGCCAAGAGTAGCCGAGGATCAGCTTCTGCTTGCCGAGCCGAGTGACAGCAAGCTGGACCCGCTCACCGTGTCCTTGGTAACGCAGGACCACATCGGCGACTTGTCGAATGGAGCCAGCTTCGTTTGGCGTGCCGTCCACATTGTAGACTGGGATAGGCTGGGAGAGCTGCCGGACCGGAAGTCGGTTTTCGGAGGCGTAGGTGGAGTCGATGAAGTCCGACGTGGCGCCGCAGTCGACCAGTCCGTTGAGAGAGAGCTGGACCGCGTTGTCGGTGGACTGGATCTCCAGGGGGAGGTGCAGGGAGTTGGCGCCAGGGGAGGCCGCAACTACATAGCGCTGAGGGAGTTTCCGTTCCCACTTTTCCTTGCGGACCAGCGGGACTGAGCGGGGGGCAAGAGGTACGTCTACCGTTTCGTTTGTGGGGGAAATGAGGTCGCATTCATCATACAGACATTTGAAACGATTACGTGAGGCGATCGAGGGCGTACTATTCACTCGTCGCGGGGGAGAAAACCCTGCTCCGACTCGTTGGCGATCTCCGCTTCATGCTCTTCTACGGCCGCTGTGGTTGCTAGCCGGGCTACTAATTCCGCCAATAAGTCGCTTCCCAGCTGATTGATCACTTCGTCCAAGACGTTGGTGTGCCGGACATCAGCGGGGGTCGGGCAGTCTCGGGCCAGATGTCCCGGGCTGCCGCACCGGAAGCATGTGCGACAAACACTGCTGCGGGCTCGGGTTCGGTCGATATCCATGGGAATGCCCGGTGGGAGGACTACCGGGGCTGGTCGGGGAACAGGGGGTGGGGCGACCACCGGAGGAGCCATGGGGCGAGGGCGGGGGGCCGCAGGAGGCGGAGCGCGGGATGGGGAGAACACCTGTCCTCGTGCAGCTCGGGCAGCCACCTCGGCGTTGTACTGGCGGAATGCGCGGGTACGCCACTCCGAGTAGTTTGTGAGGCTAGGCGGGTTACCGGAGGTCGTGATCGCCTGATTGATTCTGGGGTCCAGATCCGCCCGGTACTTGGTGACCTTGACCAAGTTGTCAGAGTA